GTGCCCTTACCAAGATAGTGTTTTTCTTTTTTCCATACGGCGTGTGGTATCAAATTTTATGCATGCATGCTTGAAATGTTCCTAAGTGAAAGTGCAAAACTGCAGTTAAAGTAATCAAATTAAAAATGAAATGGTACATGGAATTTCGGAGGAAATGTGAAGAGCATGGTGATGCAATGACGCTAATCGAATTATGTGCTATAACATGTAAAACGGGATGATGAAAGGAGCATTCAAAAAGAAATTATTGTAAACACCTTAATCATATTATTGTCTTTTTTAGATTAAGGCAAATAATTGGGTCACTGATGTCCATGTAAAAGTATTGACTGTCAACGTCGAGCTCGAGAACTTGGGGACCGCCAACCAGCATTCCTGGCTTTAGGGAGGGACAGACTCGGTGAGTCTGAAAATAATAATACTAGTAATGATCCTAATGTGTATATGAATCTGTTTCAGCAAGTGACGCTGCATGATCTGTCAGTACACATCATCCCTTTAGCCACATTGGAATGGACCTGGTAGGGCCTCTGCCAAAATCCGTCTGGGACCATGAACACATGAATGGTAGATTATGCCACCTGCTACCCTGACACAGTGCCCCTGCAAAAAAGCCACTGCCAAAGCCATCACAAAGGAACTGTTCTTACTATGCACCAGGGTGGGCATCCCCTCAGAAATCATGTCTGTCCTGGCAACCACCTTTACATTTAGGCTGATGGCGGCCCTTTCCCACCTCCTAAAGGTAAAGCTGTTATATACCTCTGTTTACCACCACGGACGGATGGATTGGTAGATAGTTTCAACCAGAGGCTGAAGAGAAAGTTGAGGTGTGTGGTGACAGGGAATAAGAGTGACTGGGATCTCATTTCTATACTATGCAAAAAATATTGGTTAATGGTTTAAATAAATATATACACATACTTGCTTGGTAAATATACATACTTGGTTTGCAGCCCATTAGGATGTCACATTTATAACACACTACATTTTGTTTGTTAACAAATAAATGGCTTTGGCAAACATTAGCTGTTTCTTAACATGCATTTTTAAGCATTCTTGCATCCTTGTGTTGTCGTGTAACACTATCATCAGGTGCCAAAGTTCAATTTCAATACTCAAGACCTGAAGAACAGAGGCAGTGTGAAAAAACCCTAATGTTTTCTTAATATTGAGAATGAATCGAATGCAGACTTGAGCACAGCACTTGTTTGAAGTCCCAGATGTCATTGAGGGAAGTTGAGGGAAGCGCAGCACTGTATATTTTCTGGTATTTGCTCTTCAGAAAAATAACTTGTCTCAGAAGTTTCCCTAAATGAGATGGTGAAATAAAACTTCTATGTGCCAATATTAATAAAGGAGTAAACGCATGGTGCTGAAATTTATTTTAAAACTGGTTATATTTGTATTGTGCAAATCTTTGTAAGGATTATGTGGATTTTTAATATAGTTGTGGAAAAAGAAAGTGGTGGAAAACAATAAATCAGTATATGAATGTTGTAATGTTCAATATAATGTTGCAATGTGTATATTGAGGCAAGATGGCGGTGCGTGCAAAGCGCAAGGCTCAGCGTCTATCCAGTTTCTGCAAATTTTGCCATATAGTTTCAGTTTTGCAGTATAGTTTCAGTTTATAGAATAGTAGTGCCTTTACATCTTACACCCGACAGGAGATTTTGGATATTGGTTTGTGCGTTCCGGACAGTTTTATTAGCAATCTTCGACTCATCCCTGAGAGCGCCAGAACACCCGAGACGGAGCGCCCTGCCAGGCCGGGCAGAAGTGCTAGAAGACAGCGTAGAGAACTTAAACAAAGGCGGGGGAAGCGCGGCGGGCTAAAAGCTAAGCTAAAGCTAACACCAGACTGGCTCTTTTTACCCAGTATCTTTCTCACCAATGTACGGTCACTGGTGAACAAAATGGATGAAATTCGACTGCACATCATACAACTGTAATGTCATGATTTTTACAGAAACATGGCTAAACAGTGGGATACCAGACAATTCCCTGCTGAAAAACCCAGGTTAAACCAGGCTAGGCTGGTTGGCTGGTTTTAGCTGGTTGACCAGCCTGGTTTTAGAGAGGTTTTGGCCATTTCCAGGCTGGTTTCCAGCCATTTCCAGCCTGGTCTTAGCTGGTCAGGTTGAAAAATGATAACGTTAACGTTAACGTAATTATAAAAAAAAGAATAACATTTTCACATTATGAGAATGCAAGTCCATTTTCTTTTTCTTGGTATTGAGAAATAGCCATATCAGTCCACTTGATCTATCTATCCATTGATCAATTCATTCATCTATTTAGGCTGCATTGACATTGCAAATCTTGTATGGGGCTGACTGACAGCTACTGTATCATAATAAAAGAGCACGTTATCTCTCTTCCTGTAATTAATCTGTTTTCAGGGTTTCATTATAGACATGATTATTGTCATAGATTATTTTTATTCTGCGACACAGTGGCGCAGTGGGTAATGCTGTCGCCTTACAGCAAGAAGGTCGCTGGTTCGCACCTAGACTGCGTCAGTTGGCGTTTCTGTGTGAAATTTGCATGTTCTTCTTGCATTCGCGTGGGTTTCCTCCGGGGTGCTCCGGTTTCCTCCACAGTCCAAAGACATGTGGTACAGGTGAATTGGGTAGGCTAAATTGTTTGTAGAGTATGTCTTCAATGAGTGTGTGGATGTTTCCCAGAGATGGGTTGCAGCTGGAAGGGCATCGGCTGTGTAAAAACGTCCTGGATAAGTTGGTGGTTCATTCCGCCGTGGCTCAGATTAATTAAGAGACTAGGCCGAAAAGAAAATGAATAAATAAATGAATGATTTTAATTCCCTTTATGTAATGCCTGCCATACTGGTCTGCAGACGGTGCAAAATGCAGATTCCCATTTGTTGACAGAAACACTCAAATAAGGACACATTACACCTATACTGGCTTCTCTTCACTGACTTTCAGTTTATTTTTAGATTACATTTTAAGATTTACATCTTGGTGTTAAATCCCTATATGGACTAGCAGAAAGACCTTTCTGCGTTAATTTAATTGTACACAGCCAGTTAGATGTGCTGATCAGTTACTTTTGACAGTTCCAACACAAGATTAAAAGCATGGAAGGACTGTGCTGTGCTTTTATAGTGCTTGCCCCAAACCTGGAATAATTTGCCTCTCTGTGTTAAGCAGGCTAAAAGTCTACTTTTATTTATTTATTTATTATTATTATTTTTTTTAGTCTTAGTCTTAAAATCAATTAATACATAACCTTTAACTATATATAGCATCCGTAATCATTGTGTTGTTATTTCTCTCTTAATCTCTACACTGCTGACAACCATATTCTTTACAGGTCGACACCTTTTTTACAGGTTACACTTTTTTTAATGTAAACTTTGCTGTCCAGTAAGTGTTTTACTGTCATTTTCATGTACGATGATTAATGCATAAATTGATAAAAATTTTGTTCCCATGATGTATTCAATAATGTTATATTCTTTACACTTGTGCGCATGTTTTCTTACAAAAAGCAGATATTTCAATAACTAGTTTTAGGATCTTTGGACATAATTCTTAACCTTTTTTTGTGTGTGTTTTGCTGAAGTGTCATTTTAATGGCTGTACATAGAAAATGAAATGGTATTTTATTTATACAAATACCTATACTTACACAATTTAAAACCACCTGGGCAAAAAAAAAACATGGATGGGAATAAGCATGTATTTAGTTTCAATGTCAACTACTTCTGTGGTACAGTAAAAAAAAAAGTCTCCCTAAAATATCTCAAATCTAAACTGTTAACTGATAAGAAGCACAGACTAATAACTTGTTCTCTGACCCAGATGTGCAGCAAAATAAATAAATAAATAAATAAATAAATAGATAAATAAATAAATAAATAAGTAAATTAAAAAAATAAATAAAATTGGGTAAATAAAGGGAAGTGTTATTTGTGAGTGATGAACAAACTAAACCAAACCAAATAAAAATAAAAACACTACAGTGCTTGGCTTTCTATACAGACGCATATATTTTAGCCTTTACTTCAGCACATGCATAGTTTGTATAAGCTGATTCTGTATAACAAATCAGTTAAAATAGAAACTGATAGATGTTGTTAAGAAGAAATGTCCAGATTTCATAATCATTCTATGAGGGTCAAGCAATTTGGTTTGTGTGACATCTGACCACATCTTGAGTTGGGTGTGTGTTTGTGTGTGTGTGTGGTCATAAACAAGTTTGTCAAAGTTTTGGCTCTTGACTAGATATAGCCTCACAGAAGAAAGCTTTCTCATGCACGTTCTACACAGTGCTGTTTCTGCAAAGACAATAAGGGTACTTTTTAGCATGCATTCAGGACAGCTCTGTTTTTGGCCCTGGGCAAACCACTGGGCAATCACAATTATCTTTCTTTTTTTTTTTCTGTTTACAGCAGATTTATTTCTAGTTCTCGCTGTTTGTTTGTTTATCAAAAAGGTTTTAAAATGCATTTTACAAAAAAAGATCAAATGGAATCCTTGTGCTCTGAGTGAAATGCACTTTTAAATGCATTTTTAAATGCTCATTTGAATTGACTATTTATGGAGGTGAGTCCTTCCAACATTTTCCAACTTAGAATACCTTTGATACTGAACAAACACTGTACATAGTTTGATTCAAAGGTCTTTTTTTAAATCCATTAAATATGATCCTGGAACTATTTCACACTGCATTTGCCAATTACACATGTTTTCCAGAAAGTGGTTGGCCCTATTTTAACACAATTTGAGTGGCTGGCCTGAGTCTGGTAAAACATAGCCAGGGGTAACAGCTAATGTACTACACCAAGGCCTTTGGAATGTTAGTTAGTGAACATGCTTTAGTTCTGGCATGCACTTGTACCTAAAGAATTCTCCAAGAACTTGGATATTTTGAGTAAGGGGAACTGTCCAGGTGCAAGGGGCACAGAAGATTTAAAAGTTTAAAACTTTGGTTATGAGTGTATAACCTTACACACACACACACACACTCACCAGGGTCTCCATTGCGTCCTCTTCTTCCTCTTTTGCCTGGTGGACCTAAAGCAGGTAAGAAAATATTCCTTAATAAGTCCTTAAATCTTGGTCATATCTTCAACAATGTTAGTGAAACTAAAATAGTTTAGTGAACAGTTTAAATGTCCCGCTCCCTTTAGAATGTAAGAAGTGTCCTGTGTTTACTTTTATTTGAATTGTTTGTCAATAGTTTTATTAATTCCCAGAAATATAATGCCACAATAAATGCATCGAAAACTGATTTTAAATATCTATATGTCATTTACTAGCTATAAAAGAATAAAAATAACAAATAGTAACAAAAATCTAATCTAAAATCTAACAAAAAAAGTAATGGTGAAATGAACAGCTACATCAGCCCAGACAGTACATAGTGCACCAGAATGTCCTACATTTGCACTTATGCATTCAGGTATATTGCAATTTTAGCTGTTATATTCAGTGCATTACATGTATAAATAGGGTTAGGTAAATTACTTTGTATAACTAAGTAAATTTAGTGCCAGTCAAAAGCTTAGTTGCAATTTAAAACATGATATGCAAATCAATATTACTTAGTTTAGTAGTAAAACTATTTTGCCCACGTGTGCCTCATTGTTTTGCAAAATCAGATCTGCTGTCCTTCAAAACAACAGTTACCAGGAAGTCACTTTAGCCATCAAAAGAGTTTAAAGGTCAAGAGCCAAAATAGAAAGTACAAAACATATTTTTCTTTACTGACATCTCCATTGTTATCGTTTTCACGTTTATTCTTGTGAGCTATAAACTTTATTATTATTGCTATAAATGAAAGCAAGTTACACTTAACCAAAGAAATGAGTATTTACACAATTTTATTTATTTATTTTTTTTGTTATTTGGCTGAAACAAACTGGTACTAATTATTAAGAAGTTATATTAAGAAGATAATTAATTATTAATTATTAGGAAGACCCTAAAAGAGTATTAAATGACACACTGAACAATGATTGACAGTTTTACAAGAATTAGGGCTTTCCCAGACTAAAGATTTTCTTAGTTGAACAGTAGTTTTTCATTACAATCACAGACTTAACACCAATTTATTAAATTAATTTAATTAGGCCTATACTTAAGCAAATACGGGCAACATTATTTGAGTTTCAGGACTGAGAAAAAAATGTCGTTTGCCACATTGTTTAACATTGTACAGAACTAGTAAATCAATTCCATTTTATAAAGACAGTGCAATATTTGTTACTTGTACTTGAGGATACAGATATCTTTTTTGGTCTGTGGATGTTCTCCAAGTAATTACTTTTTTCTGCTTAACACAAGGTTGTCAAAGTTTTTAATATCAAACCATTTTCAATTTGATTTTAAATGTTTTCCTGCTATTAAATCTAGTAGCTTTTTATAACTCCTCTTGAAATCAACCATAACTCTAAATATATATTTTTAAATAAATAAAAGCCCTTACTCTGAGGCTTTGAAAATATTGTTAAACTTGGGACATTGTGAAACAATATTTAATAAAAAACAGATCATGATATTTCTATCTCTGTCAATTATTCTGGTCCAGGAAAACTGCATTGACTGAGTGTTGCCTGTCTGACAGTCTGAGCATTACTGTATAGTTCATAATGCCACATACACGGTCATATTTTGTTTTCAAAGATTTCAAAGATACATTTTCAATTAAAAAAGCAACATGATAATTTTATAAAGTGTACATTCATATGGGCTATTTTTGCCAGAGGAAACATTTACAATGAGGAGAGAACAAAGCAAAAACTTTACAGGATATGAAAAATTCTTGCTCCCTGTGACATTTTGTAAAATGTACTTAAAAAAGAAAAGTTAAGTTGAGTTGGCCCAAAAACAGATCTCCTCTCTTTTGTTGAATAACATGAGAGTAACATAACTACAAAGATGTCTTGGATTTGCTTTCTTATGTTTTTTTTTTTTTTTTCATTGAGGAAATAACGTTATCAATCATTCTGACAGCTCATGCAATAACTAGCAATCCTGATTGTTCAGGCATTACAGTGGCACCAAAATGAGTTACTCAATCCTAGTTGTCATCATTAATTTTAAAATATTTCCACACTGCCAAACTGTTCCTCGTGAAGAAGCTTTTGTGTGAAATGAAGAAGGTCTGTCAATGATGTCACTATCTGTCAATATCTGTCTTTGGAAATGGTGTGTTTTTATAAGTATGAGTACGAGAGCTCAGTATCCGGGACCAATGAAGACACCAGCATCAGTACTGGTGTATCCCTAACAGAAATGCTATAATAATAAGCACTGAATTGAAACTTTGCAGACATATAAAATAGCACTGACAAAGTATATAATTATGAATGTATCTGGGGGGAAAACGACATGGAAATTTGTTGAATCTTCGTAAATTATTATTAATAAAATTTTATTATAAAAAAGGATAACATTTACCCAAATTACAGCTTATTGAATGAACTTACTAAGAATTAAACACACATATAGATAAAAAAATACAAAATAAACATGTAACAAGGTGCCTAGAGATCTACAGGGAAAGCCACATGGAAACAATGAAACCAAAATAGTCAAAAACATTTTAAATATTCAAAATAGTCAAAAATCTTTTCTTAGCTATTAAATATTTGTGTTTGTCAAATATATAAATAAACTAACTTAATTACAACAAATATAGAGCCGCCCAAAAAGGTTTAAAAAATGTTGAAAATGGCAGATAGTCAGACCAAAGGATGAGCCTTAAAATTAAATATTGAATAAATAATAAAACACATTAACAACTGCCACTAGGCCTAAGAGCCTTCATATGAAACATTATATGAAAAAAAAATAAATATATATATATATATATATATATATATATATATATATATATTTCAATTTTAATAAGTTGCCAAAAAAAACTATACATTAAATAAAATTAATAAATAAAATAAAGCCTAACTGCATGCTGAAAGTTACTAAAATGTGGGTAATTATAACTGACTCTATTGTCATTTTCCTTTCTATCTCCTTTGTTTCATTTTAACTATGGCTTTATTCACAATGAACGTTGCCATAAAGGAAATGTGCTCTGATGGAGTAGATGTGGAAGGGGTAGAGTGATGCATGATCCCACACTTTCTTTTTTTTTGACATTTGCAGATGGATTTTCTCGTTACACTCTATGGTGTCCACCGAAATGTGTTCTGTGCTGCAGAAACGTGGGAGCTAAAAACACTCGGCTGTGAATGCTTGGAAAAGTGTTCCTCTACCTTCAGTTTCTTGCAGTGCTTGGCTTGTTTTAAACTGCTTTTCAGGTTAGCCCTGAATTTGCTGAAGACCTCTCCATCACCTGATCAGAAAACATTGTCGCAGGCTTTCAGAAGCAGCCTCACCTCCTTATTTATCCAGGGGTCCTGGTTAGTCAAAAGTGGTGCTGATGGAATGCAGTACAGAGGTGTATGTGTCAATGTTAATGTCCACATAGGAGCCCTGGGCAGCCTGAGACACAAATGTACTCTAGTCTGTATTTTAAAATTTGTCCTGTAGTACAGTGTCCCTCCTTAGGCCACACTGATTGTTCTTACAGCTGGTATCCTGCAATTGATGAGGGGTGAGTATTTAAGAAGTGAGAAACAAAAAAAGGTAAAGAGACTGTCCAAGGTGGCATAGGTTGTTGTGGTGTTGGCTCCATGTTTGTGTTAACATGGTCTAAAGATTTGTTTCCTCTATTATGGCAGGAAACATGATGATAGAGTTTGGGGAGCAGTCTTAGTGTGATAAAAATCAACCGCAACAATGAACGCAGCCTCTGGGTGCACCAGTTTTTTGTTGACAAAAATGCACAATCCTCTGCCTCTTTTCTTACCGGAATCATCTGCCATACTATCTGCCCGGACTGAGTAGTGTCCGACTAGCTCAACGTTACTTGGTATGTTGCTGTGCAGGCATGTTTCCATGATAATCATGATGTTACCATCCAAGAGTTTCCTACAAGTGTGCCACAAGCCTGCGTTTGAGTGAAGGTCTCGGCTGTTAGATCGCCCCCCTGGGGGCTGGCTGCAGTACAAGTCATAAAGCCCGTCTCCTCCGTGTTAATGGATGAGACTTGAGCCCAAATTAAAAATTAATTAAAAAATTAATCACACTTGCAATAAAAATGTCCCGAAAGATTAAGGCACTGATTATTGTGATGAAATAGGTGCAGATCTTCATTTTTGTAAACAATTTGTTTTTAGCAGTAATTTAATGCTGGGCGTGTCATCGTGATTGACAGCTGTTGATGTGATTGACTATATTGTTGTTGTTTTTGTTTTGTTTTTGTTTCGTTGCTTTGTATTTGTTATTTGTTGATTTTTTTCTTGTATTTGTATGATTTTTGCATATTCTAATTAAAAAAAAAAAAGCGATTGACAGCTGTGATTGACAGTTTCTCAAAGCAGACCGTCTGAGCTTCGGCAGGAGACTGAAGTGTTATTATTCGATTTCTGTGTTATTTTACCATGACAAAAAGAGTTCTGCAGTAAACTATAGTTTCTGACATACATAATCTGGTGGATCACTGTTTATTCGCTAAGGTCAGGGTTTTTTTTCGGACTTTATTAGTTTGCTGATACACACCTAACCACCAGATAGCAAAATACACTCGGGCCAGTTCCGCCTAGATTCTCGCCTCATGGAGACTTACCCCTCAGACTGACTACCTTTGCTGGACCTACTCCGGATGCCTATGGACTCACTGCCCGATTCCAGCCCGAGTCAATCGAGATAGATGCGCGGGCGAGCGAGCCGACGCTGCCGCATGCGAGCCGGAATCAGCCCACGACGCCGCGAGTAGGTTATGTGCGCTGCGGCCCAGAGCTGCCACGATTGAATCTTCATTATATAAAACCCTCACCTTTGTTAATGATATTACATCCATTTGTGTTGATATGACAGCAAACACAAAGTGTAGCACCTGTAGTTTAACCTTTTAATAAAAATGCAAACAGCATACATCGCAAATATTCAAATAAAGGACAAAATAAATAACAATAAACCTGTATTGATTGCACAAGTATTAAATA